GGGGGGGTGCATAACAGAAAACAATTGAGAAGCACTGGATTACAGCATGGTAAGAACTACCACTCGTTTAATCAGGGTTTTGGTCCATATTATGAAATTTTTGACCTCTCCTTAATATAGTATACACGTGTCCTACAGTAGAAACAGACAAACACAGAATGACAGGTCCAGATGTAATTTCTATAGGAGGAAAGATTTAAAAAAAGTTGAGGTCACAAATCAAGGTCAAAGGTTGTACAAGGTCTTTGCCATTGCTATAGAATGCTGTATAATAGTTTGTTGACATGTGCATAATGTGTCAAATGCGGTACTCTTGTTTTGGAAATGAACTTCCTGACATTTTGAAACGTCTTCTTCCCAGCTGTTGTTGCAGGTGGAGTGATTGGCTTCCTGTTTGCCATCTTCCTCATCCTCCTGTTGATCTACCGCCTGAAAAAGAAAGATGAAGGCAGCTATGACCTGGGACAGAGGAAACCCTCGGGAGCAGCCTATCACAAAGCACCAACCAAGGAGTTCTATGCATGAAGTCTCACTGAACTCTAACCAGATAATCTGATGGTGAGCGGCTGCTGAACTCGTTCACTGTGACCACAACAACGTCCAACCTTTCTGTCTATCTTACTGTCTGTCTTTCTTTCTGTCTTTCTTTCTTTTTCTGTCTGTCTGTCAAACTGAACAGATTTTCTGTTGTTGACTGGAACGGTTTCAAACGGCTGCCTTCAGTCAGTGACCACACGAAGTTCACTAGCGTTTTACCGGAACGTTGACTGGTAATAATAAGCATCAAATTGACGGTCACTGTTTGATGTGTCTAAGCACGTATGAAAATGTGTCACATTGATGTCTTTATGTTAACAATTAATTGAAATTCTTCTCCCTCAGGTTCTTGTTTTTTTTTTTTTTTTTAGATTTGAGTTTTTTTAATCAACAGTGTTTTTGTTTTATTGTTTGAATTTGTATTTTAAAAGTCTCAGGACTTAAGGAAAACAATATTTGTGGTTGCCATCTTGCTGAGCTCTTTGTTCGTTGCACCTTCACTGCTGTCCTGCAATTCTTGTGCGTGTTTAGTGATCCCTGAAGTACCTGAAGGGTCAAAATTATCATCTTATACTCACTTTGTCATAGAACGTAAAACCCCAAGCGTCTCATGAGATCTGTCCTGTCCCTTTTTTAATTTAATCCTATAGCATCATTATCTCTGAGTCAGAAACCTTACACTGCAGCTTTTACTTGTGTATATAAAAATGTATGACAATACAGTAGTCCCTCGCTACTTCACAGCTTGTTTATCGCAAACTTGCTCTATCGCAGTTTTTCAAAATAAGAGCAGACATGACACAAAATTAGCTGGTTGATGGATGAGCCGCTCAATCGGCATGAATTTTTAATAATTAATTATTTTAAATTATTTAGCACCTGCTGCATCTTTGTGCAGCCCAGAGCTGCAGAAAGAGCTTCCTCCTGGAGCTTTATTCACCTTTGAACTGCAGGATTTTTTAAACTTCCTGCTAAAGCTGATTAGCTGTTTCTCTGTGCATAGCGGGGAAGTGGGTATGGCAAAGACTGCTTTCAGGTGGCTGAGTGCACCAGAGGCAGAGAGGACGCAGAGAGCTAAACTCATGACATTCTGTGCTCTTTTAAAGTGTTTAGAGTTAGAAGCATTGTTTAGAATATTGCAAGAGTGTGGCAAGGGTTTAAAACGCCTTTATACACACACACACACACACATATATATATATATACTAAAATACTTTACTGTAACATTTTAAATTATCAATCCATGCTGCATGGGTTGTTTATTTAAAATGTTACAGTATTTAAATTTAAATTGTTTATTTAAGGAGGGAGATTGATAGTAACAGGAGTGTGATTACAACCTGGCACATGTCCTGACAAAGTTTACTGAACTTGAACTTAGACTACTGTATCCCTACTTTGCAGTTTTTCACTTATAGCGGGCGGGCGTGGTCCCAAACACCTGCGATAAACCAGGGAGCAATGTACTGTAAATAAATATTCACTGAAACTTTCAAAGTGCCTACATGTGAACATGATCTTGCTCTCTGGGGGGGTCATGTATGACTGTAATGTTGTTGTTTTTTTGTGTGTCTGATGAAGCTGGCAGTATTGTTCCTGTAATTTGAAACCACACTGCTGAATAAATGTGGCCTAAAATGGACTTCTTGTGTTCGACTGATTTTTCTGATGGATATGTCTGATGCTGCTCACACAGTACTGGTTGTTCTGATAGATCAGTCTGAATTGAGCCACATGGTACCAACAGAATTAGGAACTTTCTGCAGATTTTATTCATGTCACGGTGAATTATTTTCTCTAAAATGTCTGTGTCTTAAAACATCACTGAGACATAAGGTGTGACATCAAAAAGAAGAAACTGTCAAGCACCACTGTATGTACAGTGGTGCTTGACAGTTTGTGAAGCCTTTATAATCTTATATATTTCTGCATAATTATGACTTAAAACAGGCATGAGCAAACCTTGGCCCGCGGGCCATATACGACCCTTTGGGCTTTTTAATTGGCCCACCAAAATTGTCCAAAATTTGGGAAAAAAAATTATAATTTATTAATACTTTATTTTTCAGGAGTGCTGAGGTAAAATTTAGGGGTGCTTAAGCACCCCCAAAAAGATGTTAAAATTGCCACTGGTTCAAATTATATTTAAAAAACTGAATTTAATAGGAAAAAAACTGGTGTTGTTTTACCTGTAGTTCTAGCGTTTCCCCAGTAGAGACGCACTACAGACACTGGTGTGTATTATAGGCAACAGTGGAGAAGTAGTAGTTTCTTCTTCTACACTTTTGTTTTTACTTTGCCATATGAACTGGTCTGTAAAAACATGTTTCTCAAAGAAAAGAAAAGTGTACAGTGAGTGTCAAGTGTTAAAAATGAGGTGGAAAACAACGTATTGTTTCACTGAGCACCAATCAAAGACAGTTTTTATGGCAAGAAACTGTCGCAGTTTTCAAAGAGTACACTTTGCTAACTGCTAACTATACTAGCAAGCCTTTCTCTGATGGCGATTTTTTAAAAGACACATGGTAAAAACAGAGCAGGTGTTTTGTGTCCGCAGGTCCAAGATAAGTTAGAAAAAAATCAGTTTATCATGCAGGACTGTGACTTGCCTTGTGGAACAGATTGATGAAGATTTAACCAGCAAAATAAGCTAAAAGGCAGAGATAGTCCTTTAAGTTACAGTTTACTGGATGAAAGTAATAGAGAACACTGCTCATCTTGTTTGTTTTTTTATCTGCGGGATTAACAACAGTTTTGAGATAATGGAGGTGTTTTTGACACTGGAGTCTCTGAAAGGAAAAACACAGAGATGATTTTTATAACAGTCTGCTGTCATGAGAGAATGAAGCAACTGTAGAGTAAAGTTGACAATGTTACAACGGACAGTTCACCAAATTTAAGTAGAAAACATGTCGGGCTGCTGACAAGAATCCAGGATAAAGTGAAAGGAAAACCTTGACCAGGATGTTATTTTTCATCCATCAGAAATCGCTGTAAGTCATGCTTTGTGGTGCGTGTGGGAAACCGTTAAATGTGTGTGAATTATAAAAAAAAATGTGAAAAACAAAAATGTGTGAATCATTGTCCAAGTACTCTGTTGTGATGCTACATAGAGGAGCTGCAGGAGGATGACGTCTGCTTCCATGCCCAACCTGCTGCAACTGACCTGTCTTCAACTTTAGATCCTGTAGTTGTAAAAAGTTTTGTGAGGAGTTTGTAGAGGTGAGCTACAACTTTATTTCAACTTTTCTTCTGTATTCCATTAGCATAGTGAGGTACGAGACTTGTGGTTTTGTGAATTTTATTTTTCTTCAGGTAAGAGAAAATACCGTGGTTTGTTCTGTCTGTTGTTTGGGCCTGAAGTTGGTAATCAATCAACCTTTATTTAGACAGGTAAATCCCATTGAGCCTCGAGGACTCATTTACAAGAGAGACCTGATTTCAACTAAGAAAGATGACAACAATGGACAACAGCAACAACAATAAACAATTATAAAGTCATACTGCAGTTTTTTTATTTTATACAAATAGGATGGCTAAAAGGAAAAGGTAACAAAAAATAAAAAAATAAAACCGATTCTAAGGCGATGTAGAAAACTAAAAACAAGAACATGTCTGCATTGGTCCCTGCCAGGAGTCCAACAGATTCTTAAAGCCACTTAGAGAGGTCAAGGTCGAGAGCTTCAAATCTTTTTGTAAGTTATTCCAGGAAATTAGAGCGGAGTAGGCCCTTTTGCCTGGTTCAGTCCTCATTGAGGGAACACTGCAGGTAATAATGTCCTGAGAGCGCACTCCATAGCTGCACTCACGCAGAGACATGTAGGAGGAGATGTATGAAGGCAGCAGACCAAGAAGTGATTTAAAGATGAAAATGTACCAGTGAGAGAGTCTGCGTGAAGTTAATGATGTCCAGTTAACCAGGGAGTACTGGGTGCAGTGGTGGGTACGATAATCACAGCCAGTTATGAATCTTAGTGCACCATGATAGACAGCATCCAACATCTGCAGGGTTCTTGTAGGAGCGTTCATGTAAATAATGTCACCATAATCAATTGAGGGAAGGAAAGTCACAGATACAAGGCGTTTTCTAGCATTCAGGGTTAGACAGGATCTGTTTCTGAGAAAGAAACCCAGTTTAACTTTCAGTTTCTTTAACAAGTTTTCCACATGGAGCTTAAAAGAGAGATGTGAGTCGACCAAGATACCCAAATATTTATAGGAATCAACAAACTCAATGGGGACACCATTTGAGGATAAAATCGGAGGAAGAACTGCTGGGACCAACTTCCTATTTGAAAAAAAGCATCCCTTTGGTTTTGTCGGCATTTAGGACAAGTTTGAGGCAGAACAAATCAGTCTGGATGTAGTTGAATGCAGATTTCAAAAGCTGGAAAGCCTTAGCAACAGTTTTAGCTCGACAATAAACAACTGTGTCATCAGCATAGAAATGTATGGATGCATTAGGGATGTTTTTACCTACATTATGTATGTAGATTGTAAAGAGGGTGGGTCCTAAGATTGAGCATTGTGGTACACCATTGTTGACTGTTAAATAACTGGAGGAAGTACCATTATGTTGAACACATTGCCTCCGGTCAGAAAGATAGTTAGAGAACCAACCAATGGTGTGTTCTGAGAAACCGATTTCTGAGAGTTTGACACAAGATGTTATGATCCACAGTGTCAAAAGCTTTAGACAGGTCTAAGAAAAGTGCAGCACAATAATCCTTAGCATCCAGTGCTTCAACGACATCATTAAGAACCTTCAGTGAAGCAGTGGTTGTGCTGTATTGTTTCCTGAAACTAGATTGATGTGGAGGTAAGATGTTAAATGAGTCCAGGTAATTTTTGATTTGAGAGTTTATCAGTTTTTCTAGAACCTTGGCTAAAATGCAGAGTTTAGAGATCGGTCCATAGTTGTTCAGTGAGGTGGGGTCACCTCCCTTCAGCAAAGGAAGAACAAAGGCTGTTTTCCAAGTGCCTGGGATGGAGTTTTGTCTTATGGAGAGATTGAAGATGTGGGTCACAGGGACTGTGATGATATG